CTTAGTTAATAAAATCAAAGATAGTAATATAATGCAGAAAAACAATCGACGAGCTAAACCATTTGACCGAGATCACTCTTATCTGGGTCCTTTGACATGGAAACATTGAAGGGAACAAGAAAGCTGACGGCTTAGCCCACCTTCGTGCTTTTCTAAATGCGTTTGTAGAAGAGCTGGTTAATGTTGCTCTGGAGACCGTCAAGTGAAGCACTTACCTCTACTTTCTTCAGCTTGCCAATATGAAAGCCACTTAAGTCTAGAATGCCAATAAAACTAGATCTTGGGAACTTATTAAAAAGGATGGAGTGAATACTGCAAAGCTTACAGCAGTTCCTTCAGCTCATTTGTGTATTGAACCCACGTCGAGAAGCTATGCATTTCTCATAATCCTCACTGCAAAAGTTGTGGAAACCTGCAGAAAAAAGAAACAGCTCTGTAATGCCTGGCATTCAGAAGAAATAGTCGCTAATTGAGATACATGGAAAACTTTATTTTTTGGAATAGCAGTTTATAATGTCCTTATAATGAAAGCTTTATCGATGGATTGAATATTTTAGGGTGATTACTTCTGGGACTGCCGACATATATCTATTTAAAATATTTGTATAAGTAAGAAAAAGGGAGCTCTAAATTTAAATAAAAACTACACATTTTTTGCATCAGGAAAATTATTCACTTTATTGTTTTAGAGATGATATGAGTTTGTAATCTAAAATTGTTTTTTTAATGTTTGTCTTCTTACTACTGAATTGCAATTTATTTCACACCTTCTCATTTACGCGTACAAATTGAATTATTTACCATTTTTTTTAAAATAAAAGGCAGAACTAATTAAATTTAATTAAATTACAATAAAAATGTTTGCTGTTTTTGAGACTGACATCATTCAACCAAAATTGAAAATAGTTTTAATTGTATTAATTAAGAAATAAACAATTCTGAAACTACGACAGTGTGAAGACAAAAGGCTGCAATAACGAATAAATTAAATACGTAACGTATTTATTTTGAAAATTACATATTTGTTTGAAAATTTGTCAGTTTTAATTGTCTTTCTTTATCATTTACTTTCAAAAGCGCACATGAAAAAGTAATAAAAAATGCACCTAATCGAATGCAAAAAAAAAAAAAACAAAATACAGAAAAACTAAACAAAAAAGAAAAAACGTTAAATTAATAAATAAATAAATTTATAAACAAAATTTAATGCACGAAAAGACCTTAAACTTTGCATTAAAATTTGACACGAAACTCGTAAAATTTTCGTTTTCAGTGGCAAACTGTAGGCGCCCGCCCGTATTTTCGAATTAATTTCATCTCTTCGTGTCTCTTTAGAGACTTTTAGTTCGTTTTGCATGAGTCACAGTGATTTGCTTTGCTAAATGTCAAAACTCATATCGCTTTTCCTTTTGGTCTGATAAGAATTCTTCAGTGGCACCTGCAAGCTTTTATAGTTTCGCGTGCTAATTTGTGATTTCCATAATTAAAAAATTCTAGAAAAATTTTCTCCACTGTGTCTGAGCCTGTGTCTTTCTTAATTACACGTAACCTTTACTTGCATTTCGTTCCACGTATGTTATTTGCTGATTTAATTAACTTTTTATTGTTTCCTAAGTTACGATTTATATTTATTTTTTGGAATTTGCAAATTTAATTAGTTTACTTTATTTATTCATAATTTTAGATAGAGAGATTTAAACAGCTTAACATTTACATTTTTCAAGGTTATTGCGTCATAAAATCCAAAATATACGGTAGTTGAGAAATAGACGTTCTATGTTTGCTTTTAAGATGTTCTTGATTTTAAACATCAATAATTTTTTATAAATAAAATGACTAAATAGGAATAAAAATATAATTTGATAGTGATATGTTTGTGAAAAATTCTTTTTATTAGATTATTGCATAGAATTAAAATATATGCTCAGGTTTTTTAAAATGATCTTATCATCTTAGCATACGTAATGATAAATATGGAAAAGGGGGGGTACCGTTAGCAATTTTACGTAAGTATTGTAGTTCAGATTTTTTAATACTTAAATTTTAATAATGAAAATGGTACTGTCAATTTTTTCGCTAAATATTATTCTGCTGCTAGTTTATGTTTTTTATTTTCATTTGATTTCATTGCCTTAGGTATATATACATGCTAGATAAAAATAATAACTATGAAATATGCAAAAACTATTAACAAAAAATATGTTTTCGCAACAACGTTGTTACTATGAAAATATTTTAACACAAGCGTGTATTACAAAACTTTTTTAGATAATTCAATAAAATAGACAACGAACGGATAACGAGCCGCTTGGAATTTAAATAAAATGAAACTAACTTGTAGAGCCTGATTGAGACAGGAAAAAGATATACCTTCCTGGGCTTGCTTGCGAGCCTTCTCGTGGAACTAAGATGGGATAAATATTGTGATGCGCCTAGTAAAATAAAGATGGAACAAACTACCGTGATGGGTCGACTTGTGATACAGGTGAAATAAGCTGACCTGTTGGGTCTCCTTGACACAAATATGCAATAAGCTATCCGGATAAATGTGCTTTAGACAAAAAAACTATCCTAATGCGCTCACAAATACGGGATGATCTATTTTACTGATTAGAATAGTTTACGAGCCTGCTTTAGATAAATGCGAAATACGCTATACTAAAGGCACCGCTCAAGATTGGGGTAGAATAAATTATTTACGATTATTTAATAACGTCTGAATGTGTTAAAAATTAAAAATGTGAGAACTTAATATTTTACGCATGATGGATATTTCAGCAAACATAATTCTCACATCTGAAGTAGTGAATAACCACATCTAGCAGTCAAATAAACATTGCCTTCACAAAAATCCATTGTACGGTGTAGCATTTGGTCTGAAGATTGTTAGGCCTGAACTTTTTTAAATTGATGATGGCCTTACACAAATTGTCAATTCTGATCCCTACAGCTACATGAATACCAATTTTTTTGACATGATTTGAAGATATATGGTTCAAGCAAGGCGATGTCACAAACAACACAATACATCCTGTTTTGGTTTTGTTGTGCGAAAAATTCCCTGGTCACTTAATTTCACTATTTGGTGATGCAAATTACCCATAAGGATCATGTGATTTAGCACCACTACACTTTTTTATGGTGTTACGGGATCATATGATTTAACAACACTACACTTTTTTGTGGTGTTATGGAAAAAAAATCATGTTTACCCGGGCAATCCTTATATTCTTGACATTTTAAAACATCTTAACATTCATTAAATTAGGGCTAATTATTAATCATATTTTCTTATTGGTACCTATATGCATAAGTCATAGAAAATAACATCAAAATACAGGGTCTTGTATTTTACTGCTAATGCCAAGGTCCAAGTAATATATTGAAATAAAAATTAGATCGAAACCTGAATCACAAGTATCACGAGTACTGTAAGACAGTACTGATAGCACTGTAAAATTGACTCTCGCATTGCTGGCCAGTGATTTTGCTACTTGAACGGCTAAATTTATGATGAGAATTATTTGAAAAGTACATAAATTGACTCCCAATGTAACAAATGAATTTGAATAATATATATCGTATGTTGAAAATTAGTTAAACGCGTTTTTTATTGAATCTTATGAAACATTTTTTGTAGTTGAAGGCCCGCTTTCATTGTTCAACATTGATGACTATCGATAAATCAGTAGCAAATACACAAAAAAGGCTTGCATTGTATGGTATGTATATCAATCAGTAAATCAGAACGAATAACTGATCAAGGGCAGATTTAACAGTTTTATTGAATTAATTCAATAAAAAGTAAGAAATTTTGGTGAATACCAAATAACAAACGAAGAATTACAATTACAATTAAAAATGAAATAAATTTGATTTTAATAAACTTTTGTTGGGCATAAAAAGCACCATGCGGTCCCAATTATGTTGAAGGTTATCACTCCATAATTTAAGGGTTCAAGTGACAAGTTCAATATTATTAATCACAATTTCTTATGCCAAAACTATTAAAAATTACATAAATTGAGTTTTGTACAAATTAGTTGTGATAATAAGCATGGCTTGAGCATTGGAATTGTAATACAATTGTTATGAACTCTTATAGTGGTTTTTTTTTCCTTGTACAATGTACATACATATGTGAGTGTGTACATATCGTATCATAATTTGAATGGAAATAAAGAACAGTCATAAGTGTGTATTTTATTATTTTGGGTAATATTTCGTAAGTCTGCTATTTTAATTAAAAATTTCTCTTAATAAATTGTTTCTTTCAATTTTTTAATTATTTTCTTTTTTCATTTTATTCTTCAAATTTTTATTAGTTTTTATTTTTGCGCGTCGAATGCTGTGTCAACGTTAATAAAAATATTGAACTGAACTCTAGAGTTGACGAGTCTATATATTTGCTATAATTTCCTAAATTTCTTCTGTTGCTTTCAAGATTTTATTAAACTTATTGTTGTTGTTGTTTCACAAACACTTTCAAGCAGTTGTCATATATGCTTAATCAAAATTCAAGCATAAATTAATTGATGAATGAATTTATTTCTTCCAACTATCGCCTACTTGGACAGTGTGGTGTACCATATAGGGAAAACTCTCCGTCCCAATGCTCGCCCGTCTTATGCTGCTCGTCTAATGAGTGCTACTTGACAATATGTTGACAACTGTTTTTTATTCTCAGTGTTTTCTTTTTGCGTACATTTCGCTTCCTTGTTCTGTTTATTGTTGTTTAATTTTCTTATATTTTTTGCTCTGTTCGTTGCTTTTGTTCTTTTAATAACGTGGAATTGATCCATTTTCGGTTAAACATTTTTTTGGTGAGTTTCCTATTCAATTCGATAAAATTTTGCCATCAGTTTTATTGCAAGTTTTTTGACGTTCGGTTCAATGCGGTTCGATTTTTTGTGCCTCGTAATTTAGTGCGATTATTTATTTTTTTTTTTTTGCCGTTTTCAATAGTTGTTGTAGATATTTTTATGCCATCGATGGCTTTGTTTACTGTTTTCATTTGAATTATGCCGATAATTTTGGTTGAGAACGCCCCCATTGTCAAGCTTTAATATTATTTATAATTTATTGGACTTCAGTATTCATTTGCTATTGATTTCGAAGGGTGATAAGATATAAGTTCCTTGTAAGTTTATGATGTTATGTTTGTTATGTTTGTTATGTTTGTTGCTCTGTTTTTTAATAGATCGATTATCTCTTGAATCGCCTTAAATTTGCATACATGAAGCGAATACTGTTTAAACGTAATTAAAAAAGATATTTTCCGGTATTTTTATTGAAATGAAAATAATCTTCAACAGTGGGTGTGATGTGACATTGATTTCAAAAATTAACATAAATAATTATAAAATTAAAACTAAAATAAAGCTTGCAAACTTCACAGATTAAAAATAATCAATTAATCTTCTGTCAAATAAATTTAATTTTTTTAAATAATATAAAAGTTGGATAGCAACGATATAATTACAATTTGGATTACTAATAAATGACTAAATAGAGCAAAGAAATAACAGCAAGACATTCATATATAGAAATATATCATTTGAAAAACATTAAGTCATTTTATTATTTTATATAAGAAAGATTTTATTTTTATTTAATGAAATATTGTGTGCAGTGTATTCTATGTAGAATATATTCATATAACCATTCACGAATCAAGGTAGGTGTCGTGTGCATTCAGTTGTCAAGATAGTTGTCGACTATACACGACATACAAGAAACTAAATGGCCCATCGATATTTGCAGATTTCTCTATTTTTCGATTATGGATCTATTGTGATCATTACTTATAAGAACAGCATAGTTCCATAGCAAATAGCATTATGGCGATTCCATAGTCGTGAAAATGATTTAATAACATCAGGGAAACATAAAAAGTTGAAAACTTGTATTAACTTGGTGTGAACCCATGTTTAGTCAGGGATGGCTATAATACTTACATGGCTTCATTATCATGATTTTTTATCTGCTTTTCTTATATAATCCTTTCTTTCACCTTCTTCAGTTTCAAATGTAAAATATGCATTTGTAAGATTTTTAACCTTTTGCATTTTTTGGCATATTTATATCTATCTATTTTGATTATTACTGAAAATTAATTTATTAAGGCAATTTTTTGCATTTCTTTATCAAGCAATTGTTTATGCCTAACTTATCGGAAACCCCCCATTTACATTTCTGTACAGTCAAGATGTTGATATAAGAAAGTTTTTTTTTTTATAGTTTAATAGTGCTTACTTATAGTACTAAAATAGTATATTATTTAATAAAGTAGACATTATATAATGAAATAGATTTTATCTGAAAAATTGATTTTTACTATTGACTCTTTGATATAACTTATGTGAAAGGTGCAACACTTTCAATGTAATCTTCGTCGTATGTGATTAAGACTATTAATAGTAACAAACTATAATAGACAAATGTATGTTAATTGTTTACTTATTAATAGTTTCAGACTTTTCCACAGTCATATAACATACAACATTACCTTTGTTTAACGAAAAGTTTAACATTAACATGTTTAACATTATATAATAAATGTTTAATAAAATAATTATACGAATTTTTGTAAACATTGTGAAAGATTATAATGCCTGTCATAGATTTTCCTATTATCGCGTTAGTTTATTTTTCCAACTACAATACATTTACACCGCTCTATGTTTTAAGGCACAATTGTGTTACTTGGTCAACCTCCCGTGACTCTAGGATATCATAAGTATCATATTGAGTAAATCGGAAGATTTTAGTAGCGATTACGAAATTATATTTAAATGACTACTTTCCTTGGATATGAAAATAATAATTACTTTCACTATAAATTTTAAAGTGATACACTATTTTTAATGTTTTAAAGTTTTTAGTTCTCATGCATTTTTTCCTCAAAAGTGTAATTTTGAAGGTTTTTAAATCTTAATACAAAGTTGCTTGTTTATTTAAAATACGAAAAAGAGAGAAGTCTTGTCACTGAACATCATAGGAAAAGTTAGGTGTTTAAGCACTCGTACCTAACTAGAAATTTATTCAGGATGAATCTGAAACATTGAATATTGGATTAAAAGTCTACTGTATAACGAAATGCCTCACTAGTCCTGTCAAAACTATTTTATGGATGGTTTGAAATAGTTACCAGTTCAGTACTAGTTCAGGTATAGTACAACTCTATATTAAGAATTTCAGCAATTAGTAATAATTCTTGTATACATTATGTAATAGATTTTGAAGCTAAATCATAAAATATAACGAATAATATAATTCGCAATATTTTGTTTGATTGTTAAAAAAATGTAATGGTCCAATTCTGAAAGAATGAATCCACTATTCTCACTAGATGCACATTTAACTTGACTAAATTTAACTCGAAGAGCATGATACAATGTTAATATATTTGTTAATATGACGCATTGTCCACGTGGAGCAGACTGTCATCCATATGCTTGATAACTTACAATATTTCTCATGTATTTCAGTTGAAGACTTTATTTTATTTGTTAAATAATATCTCATGATTTTTCAATGGTAGTTTTGTGAAATGTATGATTTTTATTTGAATTATTTGAAACAATTAGTGACTTAAAAGAGTTCTCTAAAAAAAGCACATATGTATTATAACTTTACAATTTGTTAGAATTTGTTGATCCTAAGGCAGATACACAAAACTACTAAAGTTTAAGTTCCTTTACAATATTTTTACGACATGCAATTTATGAAAAGACTTTGAATATAATTTTTTGAACTCGTAACATTTTATACAAAATACGTTTAACAAGAAACGTAACAATAAAAATAATTAAGCTTTAAGGCATTTAATGAATAATATCTAGTTAGTGTCTGCTAAAATATACTTCAGTGCAACGGTAGAAATGGTTTACGTTCACATATATCTTTAAAAGTGAATATACATTTTAGTCATTATAGTTTCAAAATTGCGGAATTCATCTGCTAAATTTAGAAGCGCAGCAGCAGTCCACAAACACGAACTACACAAAAATGCGACTAAACTTGCGCTCGATGCCTTGACATTTACGTATTCCGCATTTTAATGTGCATCTTTAAGATACAAGCATCTTTTTCACTCGCACAAAATATTGCAAAATTAATTTAAATGTAAAACTATTTTATGTGCACATATTTTGTACTAAAAAGTTTTACCGGCAAATTTTAAAGAAAATTGGTTTATATATCACTAATGAATTTTTAAGGCGAAGCTGAGATTTAATTGCCTTACCACAATTTTTTTAAATTTAAAATTTATGAAGTTGTTTATTATAATATTTCAGATACTTTTTTTGAGCATGTGATTTCTGTACTGGCGCATTAGCTACTGTTAAGAAAATATTTATCTTTTTCATTATCTAAACGTTCCCATAAATAAACTTAATATGCATTATCATACACGCAGAGTATTTATGATTTTTTTTATTTATTATTATTTATATTTATTCTACTTCCAAGCTGCCACTAGCTCAGTGACACATTATTTAAACTTATAATGGCAAACACATGCAATGTTCATAATAATTTATTTAAACAATTTATTGTATCTATTCTCTGCTGCATTGGCCATTTAAACAAGATCTTTTCATTATTTTATTCTTTTGTTAAACGCTGTTAACACTAATTAGCAGTAGCAGCTCTAACACCAGCAGCAACAACAACAAAACTAATGAAAAATAAATTATGCTTCTTCTGGCCGAAGTGTTAAGCAAATGTTGTAAATTAAGTTATGCCTCATGTTCTGTGCGGAATTCCATGGAATTCTCCAAATAGAAATAGTTTTCCTCTGATGCCAAATATTGTTTTCTGTATCTATTATTATTTTTATTTGTTTGGTTTAGTTGTTTATTTTGATTTTCAACATAATGACGTCATTATCTTAGTACTTTTACTCTTGTATTGGCCGCAAATAGTGCGTTTAATTCGAATAATTTATTTAATGAGGTGTTGTGAATTTATTTTCTTTTTATCTAAAAAAAATTACAAACATTTTTTTAATTAAATAGAAAAAAATTGCTGTTATAAAAGAAAAACAAATTCAGATATTTGTTAGGAACATGAAGAGTAAAAATTCTTTACTTTTTAGTCAATATATATTTTTATTTTTTAATTTAAAAAAAAAATCCAAGTTCACGAAATTTCGTATATATAAAATTAGCTATCAAGGATACAATTGAAACAATATATTTATTAAATTTTGTTTAAGATTAATTTGTAACCGGTGCACAGTGGCGTCAGAAAACGGTCGGCTAATATGGCGATAACCTAATTATTGTTTTTAAGTTATATATTTTTGTTGTTGTTTCATTACAAATAGTCGGGATTGAAAGGTTTAATTGTTAGCACATATTGCTCTGATACAAAAGTCTATCTAGAACTATTTAAAAAAATACCAGGTATATGCATTAGTTTTTTTGGTAAAGAAAACACGTAGTTTTTAAGGAAAATGATTTTTTTTGATTTAAAATATTGGCTTCTAGATATTTCACCCATCTTTCGGGTAATTTATGAATCCCATAACAGAAAAACTGCTTGACTTTTTCAGCAAACCATTTTTCGAGCCATTATTTACCTTCATCTAAATCGCTGAAATGCTGTTCCACGAGCGCGTGCAATTTTCATGCGAAGAGATCAGATGACTGGAAAGTAAGGCAATTGCGATTTCCAAGCGATTTCAAGGTGTCGTTTACTGGTTTTCCAATGTTCAGACTGAACAAAATTTGAATTTGCCATGCGTTGAAACAGTATTTTATAATTAACGCGTGATACCTATTTACCCAGTTTATTGATCTTTCGCATTGCTCGTAAACGTTTGCCGATTGCGTCTTTCTAACACATTTAAAGCCTTGCCAATTGTTGTGGAATTTGTGTTGAGTTATACACTCATCCAATAACTATTGCAATTGCTCGTCTTTGCATTTTTGTGGTTCACCAGAGTTTGTTTTACTTAGAAATCACCACTTTAAAGTTGTCGCAACCATGTCTCAGTTGTTCTAATCAAAAAAGTTTATTTTTCATATGTTTCTACCAGCGAACGATAGCTTTCAACTATTTTTTTGTTTTAATTAAATAAGAAAAGCAAGCAATTTGACATGATTGCTAAATGATAAAATAAAGATATAAGTTTTTTGCGGACTGGTATATATATATAAATTGTTTTTATTGAAATGTTTATATAAACAGTTTAAATTCTAAACAATATTATTTGACAAAAGTATTTGTACTTACTTGCTTTAGATTAAGATTATTCTTTTTAATATTATTCTTTAATATTATTATTACTAATAAGTGTAATTTTTTAAAAAAATTTTTTATTAATCAAATGTTGAATAAACACATGGGCTTTGGTGGCTCGGTAATAATCAAAAAAGTTGATGTAAATTGGTCAATTGGTCAAATTGGTAACAATTAATTACCATTATTGTTTTTAAAATATTGCTTTAAACACATAAATCATTAAAGGTAGGTCAGGTATATAATTTTCTCATATTCCCTTCAGTAACAGTTAATAAAATTTCACAAAAAAAAAACTTAGATTAGTTATTTTAAATTGTTTTGCTTTCAAATAAAATAAGTATGTGTATATAATATATTAAAAAAACATTTTATAAATTTGCAATAAATTTAATACAATTTTTTTTTCTCTTTCAGGTTTTAGTTTTAAGCACCATTAACATAATAAATGCCACAAAACTATTTTAAACGATAGCCAAACAAATTAAAAAAAGCCAATGAAATTCTTTTAAAAACATAACTTATTAGATACAAAGAACACAATTTGTTCGCAATGCTCGATTTAGCTTGATTTAAATACAGAAATAGAGGTCTTCCAGCTTCCACCAAATACGCAAGAATCCAATACAACAAATCAAAACAAATAAATCGGCGACTGTGAAAATAAATATCTTTCAAGCGAATGATGTAAAGAGCTTAACTTGGCCTAAAACATATTAAAAAGCAAAATAAATATACATATGAATCGAAATAAATAAGAAAAGTAACGAACAACAATAATAACAACAACCACAGATATAAGCTATAAATCCAACAGATACACTTTCGAAGATAAGCTATAAACATCGTTGTGGCTGTTAAGAATCTGAACGTCTCGCAAAGTAGCTGAACATGCCAATGTATTTGCGTTGAATTGTTGTTGTGCAGTGTGTCTGAATCTGTATATGTTCTTTGCACAAAGGTACTTATTTTCATGGTTATAGCTTTCATATGCTCGTATAGGTATTCCAAGTAGCCCAAAGTGAAAATTATTGTGAAATACGCTAAAAATCTAAAGTAACAAACAAAAGTTGAAACGAAGTCAAGTGCTGCGCTGTGCTACGATTGTTTTAGTATACATTTTTTTTTTCATTGTAAATACTAAGTGTATTTTTCGTTTTGTTTTCAAAGGTGTTGAAATCCTATTACGAGTACATAATTGTGACAGTATCGGAGACAGATAAAAAACTGCTGTAGTTTGCTTAAGCGGCACTACAACAGCAGATACGAAATTTCAATTTTTTATTTGTAATTGTAAGAGAACCTTTAAGATTCGAGGCAACAAGTTGTACACTTTCGGCACGATGGAAGGCGGTTATGTAAATGAAGGTAAGTGTGATTGAAAGTTAAAAATTGTTTTTAATCTATATCATTTTTGTTTTGTTTATAAAATTTATTAATATTTTGTTAGCTTAATTTACTTCAGTTCTAAATAAGTGCTATTCAATAATTATTTTTTTTTAAGTAAATATATATATTCATTTTCTTTTATTTTATATTATGTTCGAATCAACAAATAAAAGTCTCTACGGATTGCTACCCACATCGTTCCTATCATGCATTTCCGGTCAATAGCAACGTGTCAATTGCTCCAAAATGCAAACAAATTCTTATAAAACGAAAATACACCATTTGTTTTCGGATTTGTTTTGAAAATATTTCAATATTACATTTTTGATATTTTCTATTTTTCTAAGAAAACACAATATTTTTATAAATATGAACTGATGTCAACTTGACCTCACAGACACGCCTTTCACACCTTACACATGTCAGTCAGATCATAAATAAATGACATTGTTAAATTTCTTTAGCCAAAGAGTGATTCAGTTTATAGAGTGCAATTTAGCACAAATTCAAAAACACAAATGTATGCCAAGAAATCAAACAAAAATATTTTTATCTGTTTAAATTTTAATATAGTATTTATGAACAAGTGTATACCTACATATATACTTCAATATACATTTTAAGTACTAATTGTTTTTAATGGAAGCTATCACTGTTTTTAATATTTTATATCTGTTAAAAAATAGGTTATTATAATCAGACATTTCTTAATAACACTTCCTAATGACATTTCCTATATTAATTTATTAAGTCTTTATTTTAACAATTCATATACATTGATCTTAGTCTCCGATTTCTGATATTCACCATAAGTGGACTATATTTTCTAAAATTGTTTTTGTATAGTTTATTGGATTATTCACTGCTTTCTTAATTTTAGATCTGCTTTTATAGCGACATAATCTGATGCCAAGCTTTGGTTATTTTGTCTTTTCATTATTATTGGGTTTATCTATGGGTTTATGTAGATTTCATGAACGTCTGCGTTTTAGGATGCGGTGCAATTCAACATTCATTGGTGTATTGCATTGAGTAATATTTTAATATATTTTACATATGGCGTAATTTTTGTATTTGTAAGATTGTTCTACCACATACCGAAAAATTTTAAGTCTTCTAAAATTTTTTTTATAATCTCAATCTGTTTTTTTCTTCAGTTTTTCTTTTTTACAAATGCCATAATAGAAAAATTCTATTTTGTTAGCAATTACAAATACATAAGCGTAGCCAAAAAGTAGGGAAGATATTATTAATATAATATTAAAAATTCTCCTGATAAAGAAAAAAGCGAATTTGCCAAAATACGTATAGATATATACAAAAAATAATGCATGAAACAAAAGCTAAAATTCCTTAAAAATCAAAACCGACTTTAAAATATTTTCGACGTAACAACTCAAAATGTTAAAAAACAAAAAAAATTAAGTAGGGAAGGATTTAAATTACCTTAATAAAAACCTGCCAAGTGGTTATTCATATAAACTCAATCTATTAAATCATTGGGTTATAATAGTTAGGTTTGAAAAAAAGTTCATTGCATTGAAATCCGTAATCTAGATCTAATTGTTGCACAAGATTGCTTAAAAATACTAGTGCTTATACTGTTGCTATCAATTAACTACAAATAGAGAAATATTATTTTACTGTGTGCTTTTTTCATTATAAAATATTACTTTCGATACATTATAAATAGGACTAATGCCACATATGACCCTCTTTGATATGTCCATATACAAGGATTGTTATATATATATACTACATATATTGCATTTATAAGATAGTTTCTTCATTAATAGTCTATATACTGTCTCCTACGTAATTCTATTCTTTTTGTCAGGGCATTTATTAAGGGAACCCCTTATTATTCTATACATCTGTTATATTTTCATATATAATTTTACTTTGGTTATCAGTTTTTAGATTTTTTATAGTTCTGTTGATACTTTTTATGGACTAGAAGACCATAATATTCTTATAGATATAAAAATAACCACTAATGTTGTTTTGTTTTGTATTTATAATTGTTCGATTTTTTCAACAATTATTTGTCAATATCTCTTAACTACCATATATAGGTATCCTCAAAATGCTTTACAGGGCTTTTATTAAGGGAACCTTATTATTATATACATCTGTTATATTTTCATATATAATTTTACTTTGGTTATCAGTTGTTAGATTTTTTATAGTTCTATTGATACTTGTTATGGACTAGAGGACCATAATATTCTTATAGATACACGGGTTAATCTATAACCCTATTTCTCTCATTCTTATGAGGAATGTAGTTTTAAAGACACTGCAATCAACCAACCACCGTTACCGAAATATTATTTCTACTTTTAACAAAATATAAAAAATTAAATAAAAATCGAAGAAAAATGTTAATTTAGAATTATGGCACTTTTAAAAATTATAATATCTTCAAATTTCTTATACACGTAAAAGAAACTGGAACTAATGGAACACTTGAATAATCGGCCATGACCAAACTTAATACACTTGAAAAATATTTCAAACATTTTCATTTAACATGAAATAAAAATTTTAAATGCATTTTTACTATTGCAACACCTTCACTCGGTATTTCGGAACACATTTTGGCACCTGTGTTTGTTTTATAGAAAATTTTTATAACAAACTCACATGTTTATTTCAAAAGCTGCCATTAAAATTGTTTTATATATACAATTATATATATTTTTTTAGCACATGCCTGCACTGTAACTTATGAGAGTTTATTTATCATTAGTCATAAAATAAATTATTTTCATTTTTATACATTAAAATTTACAAAACTGCTGCACATTCCTATATTGCATTTGAAATTTGAATTTATTTTATGATCATTTTATAAAGGAAAGAGCTTAAAATAAAATTTATTTAATTGCAATTAAGTTTTTAAATAAATAAATAAATAATTTTCACAGAAAACTTCTACTTTACTTAATGATTACTAATAATAAATTATTTCTTACTCTTAATGCTAACCATTCAATTAATTTATATTGAAAATGTATGGCATCTTCAGAAGATTCAGATGCCATAATTGGAGTGGAAAGTCCAGGTAATGATCTCAAATTACTTTATTCATATATATAATAAATTCTTTAACATTACAAGAAAAATATTAATTTAATTTGAGAACACATAAATAATATCTTTAATAAATTTGAAAACTGCCTAAATATTTATAGCATTTTTGAGAGTTTTGCTAAATTTGTGGTAAGTTACAAAATAGTGCTTTATATTCTCAAGTAATAAAATGAAGACGTAACCGTAAATTTGTGTCTTTGTTCTATCAAATTGACATTTTTATGCATTTTTTTCTAAGAAGCTGCTGCCCACACTTGCAAGAAAAGCGCATTCTTTCAAGTTTCAGCTCTTCATTGCTTAAGTGGTTGAAGTGTAGAGTAGAATTCTATTAATTTATTATATTTGAAGTGTCAGTTGTCATCGTTTTATTGCAGAGGCATCCATTATGTGGCTCTTAAGTCGTGAGTTTTACCCTTTTTCTTCTGCATTGTCAGTATTAGGTATCTTCTGTACAGGTCTATTAACTAAGCCGAACTGTATCTCCGTCGTGTGTCAGTTTTATTTAGATATTTTCTTCGTAGGCGATTTGATTATTCTTTCATTGATGCTTACTTCTTTTAAAAAACTCTTATTTTCTTCTCTAATTAAGATGCTACAAAGGTTATTATGAGCAACAAGTCACAACAACTTTATTTGTTTAAAGATAAAGTGTATTATTCAGCTGCATAATTTGTTATGTTAATATAAATAAATTAACGTTGAATAGAAAGAGCCTTAAACTTATGTCAAAATAATCAATGTATTGAAACAATGTTGACTTTAAAAATGAAATGAATAAACTATTCTTTGATAATTTATTGACTACTAGTTATTTTGTTCTGTTTTAACAATATCTGTTATAATATATCTGTTATAATTTTCCTATACACAGCACAAGAATTATTCAATTATTTATTTAAAACTCGTTGCAATATAAATTTTACATCGTGAAAGAGATATATAAGAGTTAAATTCACGGTCGTCATCCTTAAAATATATACGTAAATACGTTTACGTATTTA